AAATGGATTTATTTCCTTACTCCTACTCCTTACTCCAGCTTACTCCATGTGTTGTAGGCCAGCCTTGACAGATGTCTGTGGCGTTTCGCTCACGCAAGTTCACGTTGTCGAATACATTGTGCTCTTTCTACGCCTGAGAACGAGCCACAAGCAGGATCGCCCGAGTCAGGCTGCTGTCCTTTTAGAGAACACATTCGACGGTTTTAACGCAGGTCAACACATGTCGCTTTCCATTTGGAATTTAATTCAACCTCGATCGGCACAAGTTAACACACTCGAGCACAGTTTGCCACTGTCACGTGGCAAAGATTCAAATAACAAGATTTTAAGAAAAGATTCTACGAAATACTCGGAGCAAATTTGTTCTTCAGTCAAAAACCCACTCAGACTCGCCTCCCGAGCAGACTCGAAGAGTGTCGATTGAGTTTGAACTAAATTTTAAAGCGACATGAGTCGATTTGTGTAAAAAAACGTCGACTGTATTCTCTAAAAAGAAAAGCAGCCTTCAACTCTGCTCGGGAGGAGAGTCGGAGTGTGTTTTCGACCGAAGAACGCATCTGTTCCGAGTATCTCGATAGAATCTTCTTTCGACAGAACCTTTTCTTAAAATCTTGTTCCTTAAATCTTCGCCACTGCACAGTGCTCGAGTGTGTCAACTTGTGTCTCCCAAAAAGAAAAGCAGCCTGAGGACAAAAATTGCCGTATCGAGACTGTTAATAGACTCGAAAATCACACTTGAAATAACAGAATACGATCAGATTATATTAGATTACAATTGTAATTTTAGTGTAAATAAATAGGAGTCTTATAAAAATTGCGTGTGATCTAATGTAACCTGATCACGTTCTATCTAATATTTTAAACAGGGATGAGAATCATACTAAAATGCCCGTGTACACTTCTCCACTCGGATGAGCCACAAGCAGGATCGCCCTCAGGTGTAGAAAGATCGTTGGAGGTTTTTTCTCTTGTATCTCAGGTGACGCGTTGTTATTAGTACGCCCTCATCTTGTTCTTCTTGCGCGCAGAGTTCACCAGGATAGCAGAGATGTCAGGCAAGCGCACTGCGACAACAGAACTGAATCACGACAACTGGAATGAGGAGAACGAGCCGGAGGACGCGGGCACGTTTGTGCTGGCGTCGAATGATATACTCGAGAAGAGGGTTATAAAGACAGCGAGGCGCCGCTTGCCGTCGCAGGATGTAAGCGTGTGCGTTCCAACGATCTTGCGTCTCGAGTACAATCGCGTTTCACCGCTGTGCTGCAACTGTTTCAGGGCATGCCTAAGAAAAGTGCATTCGGAACATTCGCGGGTTTCAAAACTGCCGCTCCCGCGACGAGTGTGTCACCGTTCAATTTTCTGGCTGGTACCAGCACCGCTTCCGGCACGACTACACCCACAGCGTCGGCGACAACTGTAAATAAGAGTAGCAGGCAGATTGCGAGCAACGGCTCTGCCAAGATTCCCAAAGGTGACGCGGACAAAAGAGAGGATAGCGCCAAGTTGCAGATGCCGTCGAGCTCGAGTGTGAGCAAGAACGTCTCGTTCGAGCAAGAGATGGAGAAGCCGAGTCACTCGGCGGAATATTACGCGAAACTGAAGGGACTGAACCAGAGCGTCACCATGTGGATAAAGAGTCACGTAGATTCGAATCCGTTTTGTATATTGACACCTATATTTAAGGACTACGAGAGATATCTGAAGGAGATGACGTTGAAAGAAGAGAGCGCCAAGGCGCAGACGTCGCACACTTCGGAGCACACGTCGCAGCGTCCCGCGCAAAGCGATAGTAAGCAGGACGTGAGCGAGGAGAAGCCGGAAAAGGCGCCTTTTGGCAGTTTAAACGCGAATACGAAGCCTACTTTGACCGCGGGAACGGAATGGAAGCCTGACAAGTCGATTTTTTCCAATATTACTGCGAATACCAAGTCAATATTCAGTAACGCGGAGCAGAAAGAAAGTTCCAAGTCGATATTCGGTAGTGCGGATATAATTTCTGATAAGGGTAATTCCATTTTTGGAAGCGTAGAACCGAGCGTCGCTGGTAAGAGTATATTTAGCCACACGAGTGTGGAAAGTAACCCCTTCTTACATAAACCCACCGTTTCGGACGGTGGAAATGCGGTCGAGGAGAAGGAAACCAAGTCCAGCGCAAAACCTGTCGCCCCTACCTTCCCCACTTTTAGTTTCGGCCAGAGTTCCACCGCCAGCAACGTGACCGCTGGATTTAGTTTCGGAAGGTAATGTATTCATTAACTTGTCTATCTCGTGTTAGACGAGATGCGAAAGTATATTTTTGTAATTTATAGCGCAAAGCCATTTTCGTTTGCTCCCCAAGCGGTAAAGCCGCAGGACTCCGAGGACAAGGCCGACGATGAAAATAAGGAAGAAGAGGACGAGGAACCGCCGAAGCCAGATTTTAAACCAGTGTCCGAAGAAGGTGCTACTTATGAACAAAGGTAATTGCGGTTTTTAAACTATAATGCAAATGTCAAAATAAAAATTACGCGCAGCTTTTTAAATAGTATAATTATTTTTATTACTGCAGCGACTTGATTAACAATTGTAACCCTTTTTTTTTACAGGTGTAAAGTCTTCGTGAAGAAAGACGACAATTTTAGTGACAGAGGTATCGGGATGTTGTATCTGAAACCGACGCCGAACGGAAAGACGCAATTAATAGTACGTGCCGACACTGCTTTGGGCAATTTGTTACTCAATACCCTGTTAACTCAAGGCATTCCCACGAAGCGCATGAACAAGAACACGATAATGTTGGTCTGCTTACCGATGCCAGATTCCCTACCGCCACCAATTCCAGTGCTGTTAAGAGTGAAAACTAGTGAAGCCGCGGATGAGTTACTGGAAGCATTGGATAAGCATAAAAAGTAGAAAAGAAATTACGCAAAACTTGGGTATGCGAACAAAGACATTTTTTTTACATTATCTTGCGAGAAATGAAGTGAATCGACGTGTAATGGAAAATTTATTCATTATTAATCATCGCAAAGGTTTCGTGTCGAACTTAACTCATCATTCCATAAATTTTGTAATCCTTTAGGAACACGGTTATAGGAAATGAACGAAAAAGATCTGGGATATATATTTTTAATCACTTTTCCAGTTGTTTCTTCATTTACAGATATTGTAAAAATGTAATTATTTATCTTGTTCATTAGATTGTATTCAGTGAGAAATGCAAAAATTCAATTGTTTCTCTAAGTTTAATGTATCTACATGTATGATCCATTCAACGTCGGAATGAGTGTTGCAATTGTAATCAATAATGTAATAATAATAATAATTGGAAATATATGTACATAGTAGACATACAGTAGTGTATATTATGAGTGAGGCAGTTTATGCTTTTAACAGCTAAGATGTACTGTGCTATTAATTACAGACGTAATTGTACTACTACAGAAGAATTAGAAGTGCAAAACCATTATAGCTCACATGGAGAATTGATTGATATTTTATGAAACAAATTCCTTGACTTATCTGTAGTAATTGTACAAAATAGATAAAAAAATACTTGACATAGCTCTACTAACATTACATTGTATTTTGAATGGAATTTACGTATTGCGAGATGTATATATAAGTTACACATCCGAAAATCAATGAACATTTCAGAGCCAGGAGATGATCATCTTTCGCAAGTTGAAGAGTTATAAATTTTCAATATTTTCTTTCACTTTATTAATACATTTGTTATACATATATCTAATTATACAAAATTATTTTACTACAAAACTTTCTTTTTTTCAATCAAAAGTAAATTTCTTCGGATTACGTGATTCGAATTATAGACAATTATATGAGAAATATATATATTGAACGAATATAATGAAGTATATATAGAAATCTTTTTGTGATAAAATTGGCGAGAAAAATAGCAAAACTGATGTTTATATGCAAGTAGATAAAAGACACTTTATTCTTAACAACAGATATCTTATACTTAGTTGAAGCTTCTAATTTACGTTTGCACTAAGAAGAGCCTCTCTCTTATAACAAAGTATAGAATTATCTATATAAACCGATAGTATATATACAAGTTTGAACATTTTTTTAGAGTTTAAAGGAATTTAATTTTATTATTCGCGCACATAGCAATATTGCAATTATCTTGACAGTAAATTGCCGTTTATATATGTTTATGTCTAAATGAATTGAATGATACATACAGTACATAAAAATATGAAAAACGAACATTCTTAGATAGCTCTCCGGTAGAAGATTTAATATCTTCCAGTAATATTAGCCAACAGTACACGAACTCTTCTACATGCTTCACAAGTTATTAAAGAAATTTAAGAACAAATATGTATATTCTGTATATACAAAACTATATACTTGCTTAAATCATATGTGTATATTGTGTAGACATGTACTTTACGTGGCAATATATTATTAATATGATCTATATAAGAGTTGAGAAAATACAGAGTTAGTTTCTTGCTTTCTAAAAAATATTCGTGATGCCGTGATCGTCTGTTATACTGTACACTTCATGAGATAGTTTTTGCTTTATCTTCAAACTCTTTGCACCATAAATGGCGTTAGGGAACTCATCTGTCCTAGTCCTACTTGGATGTGCTGCATATGAATTTCTACACAGTTTTGAAACACTTGTTGATTTTGCGGACTGAGTTTCGATCTGATCTGTTCCATAGTACCTTGCAATACCTTGAGCTCGTATGCGTTTTGATCGGAGTCCGATAAGCTCTGCAATAGAAAAAAAGTTTTTAGTATCAGACAAGTAAAGAGCAAAATTAATTTAGCAGGAAATATCTGTTTATCTTACTTTCACTTGTAACATCAGCGCAGTCAAATCTGTTACCAATTGATTCATTTTTCCTGGTGCTTTATCGTTTATTACGTTATTTTTAGCGACCATATCTGCCGCTTCTTGCTTGCACTTCTCTCGAAGATGCGACGGAGCTAACATCGCCGCCACGCTCGGTTCGGGTGCCATTTCCTGACACAATTCTTGTATTTCGTTCAAAAAATCTTGGAGAGCTCCATTCATTCTCTCCAATTCGACAATGATTCTAAAAACGAAGATACAGTATATCAAAGACATGACACGACATTTAAATTAGGTATCTCTTAAATACTTTTTATCAACACAGTTTTTTTATGTACTTAGCTAATCGTACCCTGCGTATTTTTTTTCGAAATCGGAAGGAAGCGATTCACCTAAGGAGCGTCTCTTCTCAGCTTCCCCGTTCATCTCCTTCAATTTCTTTATTTTATTCTTCTTAGTTGTTAATATCTTATTCACTTTGACCATAAGTTCGAGTAACTTGAGTGGAAAACCGTTTACTGTACCACCAGTATTCGTCTTTTTTGGAATGGACACAGAGGCATTGGATATCAAAGGATCGTTGGTCAATCGCGGGGACAATTTCATCATGTATGATGAGGAAGGTACGTATTGCAAAGGCCGCGGTCTGAACTTTTGAGAGAACGACGCCAGGCTGATCGTTTCCGGTGATTCGTTGGACTAGCGGAAAATAAATTGTACATTAATTTGTGAATGTAATCGTTAACATTTTTCTCGGAGAGTACAAGCGACATACCAGAACTTCATAATCGGGGACACTGTGCGTCCCAAGTCCGGCTCTCTCAAACGTAATTCTGTAAGTATTATTACTGGTGTCAACGGCGTCGATGCTCCCGGTGAATAAGCCATCCTGCGGTTTCCTCAACCTCGCCGTCACTTTCGTGCCGATCACCAATTGCAGCGGTATCTCAGGTGGCAGGTCCTTGCAACTCGTTATATCCGCAGTCTTCCTCTGCTGCAGCATCCGTATTTTCTGCCTCTTCCTTTCCAGCTCGCGTCTCTCCTCCTCGAAGAACGACTGCGAGCATCTTCGCGGCTTGCCCATCATCCGTCTGATCTTGCACCACTCCACGCGCGTGAGTTTGCGAGTCTTCAATTGCGGAAACGATTCTTTCAAGCAAATCATGAAGTCGTTGTCGCCCTCGAACAATATCCTGCGCCAAACATTGTTTTACAATATTAGGAAAACCGACTTATTTCTCCAATACTATTAGTAATGTAGCTGTATGTATCTCAGTATTATTTCGTGTTACGTTTGCACGTACTTGTCAATATTGCTGTAAAACCACTCGTAACAGACCCACTTATGCGCCTTCGGTAGCTTCAACAAGTTTCTCAGTCTCATGCCAATTTTCTGCCCTATCTTACGATCAGGCGATGCAAGTTGCGACAGCTTGTCGGGCTCCTTCTCCTGCTTGACCGGAGTCGTCACAGGGGTTACCGGTTGCGAAGATGAACTTGTACTCTTCGGCGTGGTCGCTATCTTAGCCTGCCTCTTCACCGGCGACGGCCGCATCATCTTTTTCGGCGATTGCTTCGCGTCTACCGCCGAAGGGTCCTTCTTGATTCTACGTAAAATTATCACACGTTTAATGAACCAGTAAAGTCTGTTGTTCATCGAATTAACACTAATCTCTATTTCTAGGCGCGAGGCGTGCAATTCACCTGTGGTGCGGATGATTGATCAAGACGTCGTCGTAGAATAGCTTGTTCTTTTTCCTGATTCTCGCTGGCATGCCTCTGCGATTCAGCACCTGCACCGGCTGGGTCGGGGGATTTGGTTTGGAGGGCGGTTGAGCGCCTACCCTCTGCAGCCCCAGAGCCGCAGGTCCCAGCTCCGGAATCGGCTCCGACTCCTCCGTGTCCATTTGCTGATCCATCGACTGATTTGAATTGTGCTGCTCATCCATGTCCATCATATCCTCGTCCATTATCTCGGTCTTGATCTCATCGACAGCTGGATAGCCACCATTTTTTATGGACAGCAAAGCCTCCGCGGATTCACCTGGGCGAAATCATTCGAAATCAATCTGCGTGTCCTACGTGCGACTGAGACATACAAGTGATTCCCTCGGAATTGAAACGCTGTGTCGTACGCAGCTTGGTCAACTACAGACGCGGCTATTAACGCTCCCTGTAAGAATTACTCCGATAATTGCGTGTCGCCAGCGAAGGCTGGCAACGAGTCTCGGACGCGCGTGCAAATCTACACCGCGCGAAAGAGTGAAACCGGGAAAGTTTTAAAAAAAACGTACGTGTACCCAGGCTCGGGCCGCGGGACAACGGCCGAGGCATTCGCGGCGATTGGGTTGAAGCGAGACCGCGAGCAGGTCGACGGCGTGAGGGGGGGTGGACGCGGACGCCCGAGGGTGGCCTCGCGGGGCGACGACGGCGAAATCGGCGACGACGGGAAATTGAGCGAGAACGGTATCGACCGCCTGCGGGGGGGCACGACATAACCAAACTCGGGCGGAGGGCGTTTGATAAACAGTCGGCGCGGGCGGCCGTGGCGGCCGCCGGCGGGCGGGCCAGCGCCGCGGGTCA